GGTGGGGTTGCAAATGCTCTAGCTTAAAAAGAAGAGAAGAGAAAAGAAAAAAAAGATAAGAGCGAGCGCCCCGGGGGAGGGGAGAGGAGGGGAGGGAAGGGGGGGTCCGCCGTGCTCCGCCGTCTCTGCCCCCGGCAGCGTTTTCTGGCGTTCGGAAGAACGAGGCGTTTCGTACGCTTTGGGCTGGTCGAAGGCCATGAGCTGTGATCACCCGCGAGCATCTTGCGATCACCAGGACACAGGAGGAACCCTGAAGCCTCCTCTGGTTCAAACTCCTGCTCAGAGCAAGGGCAGGTCTTGGGGTCAGGCCAGGTTGCTCAGGGCTTTATCTGGTTGCACCTTGCAAAAGCTCTGAGGATAGAGGCTGCATAGCCTCCCTGGGCAAACTGGGCTTGGCTGGCCTCGTGGCGAAAAAGGGGTTTCTTCTATTTGGTTAGCACCTCCCTTGTCTCATAGAATCATAGAATCATCTAGGTTGGAAAAGACCTTTAAGATCATCACGTCCAACCGTTAACCTAGCACTGCCATCCCAATTTGTTTCTTGCCCACCATTGTGCTGTTGTGAAGATCCTGGCTCCATCTTCACGATAACCTCCTCACAAGCACTGGAGAGCTGTTAGTATGTCCTCTGGGAGCCTGCTGCAGGATGAACAAGCCCAGTTCCCTCAACCTCTCTGCAAGGGCAAGTGCTCTCATCCCCAACCGTCTTTGTGGCTGTCCACTCAACTCACTCCAGTTTATCAAGGTCTCTCTTTTACTGGGCAGCCCAACATGGCATGCATTATTCCCTGGGTAACGGGCGATAGGACAAGAGGAAATGGCCTCAAGTTCTGCCAGGGGAGGTTTAGGTTGGACATTAGGAAAAAAATTTTCCCTGAAAGCATTGTTAAGCTTTGGAACGAGCTGCCCAGGGAAGTGGTTGAGTCCCCATCCCTGGAGGTATTTAAAAGATGGGTAGGCGAGGTGCTTAGGGCCATGGTTTAGTGGTGGGATGGCAGGGTTAGGCTAAGAGTTGGACTTGATGATCTTAAAGGTCTGTTCCAACCTAATTGATTCTAGCTGTGCTTTGAGGAGTGCTAAGTAGGGGGTAGCTTCTCTGATTCTCTGTTGCATACTGGAAGTCAGAGTAGATTATTTCAGTTACTTAATTGTCCTATACCAAGTCTGAAGTTCCAATTAGCTTTTGATTTTGTTGATTATCTTCTCTAACACAACATCCATGTTGTTGCACTGATGCACACCCTAACAGAAATAGGTGCAAGCTTATGAGCAGCGGTGAGCAACTGCTTTCTGCAACTCGGTATTTTACAGACATAGGATGGGTCTTCTCAGGAGTCTTTTAAGAAGCTTCTCCCCATTGTGTGTGATTCGTGGATCATTATCAGTTTGACAAGCTTCTCCCTCTCAGCTGCAGCCATGTTCCTTGTTTTGCTGCTTCTGTAGTTAAACCGCCCTCTTTTTCCTCTGCCCTGCCTGCAGCTTTTTATGTAGACACTTTCCGTTCTCCAGGAGAGGCTTCCAGTCCTTGTTCATTCCCAGAACTGCTAAACACTGCCCCAGGGGCAGTCCCGTGATCTTCTCCTGGCAAACTGGACTGGAAGGTTTTCCAAGTCATCTGGTTACTCCCAGCACCTTCCACTTGAAGGGCAGCCACCACCGCCCCTTCACAGCAGTCCACTGATGGATGGCCTGTTCTCCACTTCAGCTAAGTATTCTGGAAAGAAGTTTGGATTAGACAGCTTAAGATACTTTCCAGCTTAATTTTCCGTGAATCCAGTGGTGTCCGCTTAGGGAAGCTGCAGTAACGTCACCGAATTGGCACTTCTCATATGTTTAAGGAAGACCTTAGTCTTTGCTGGAAAGTTTAACCAGCATTCAGCTGCAGTCTTTCTTGTCCTCCCATGAACTCCAGGTGTGGCTTTAACCCTGCTTTCTCTTGCTAAGATTTTAATATACCCAAATCTAAATTCATTGAAAAGTGCGGTATCTTAGTTTTGATCGAGTAAAAAAAGAGTAGGCTCCAATGTCCTAATCAAAAGATATGAGATATAATTGCTTTTAGAAGACCTTAAATGAAGCTTGACAAGAGGAAGACTGAATTAAGTTAAATAGATATTTTATTAAAATAAGATTTTTCCGAAGGAGGACTAATGGAAGATGGCCATTCTATTTAGGACGACAGAGCTGTGCTTTTGCATTTTGTGGGTTTGGTTATTTTTTTTTTTAGTTTATACAGAAAAATTCAGCTGTATTATCATTGTCTCAGACGGATTCCATTTATAGGCTTTCAGCATTTATTTTTCTATATATTCAACATTTATGGGTAAAGTAGTATCTCATCCAATGTCCTGGATTGTCAGAGAAAAATATTCCCTTTCACATGCTTTCCATGGCACTTTCCTCAGGAATGTGAAAATTTTTTTTGTAAAGTCTTGTCTGCAATGTCTGGGTTTTACTGTAGGCTCCCAGGCATTTTGCTCAGTTAGACAATGCTAACAGAAAATAAAAATTCTGACTCTTCTGCCATAAAACTGTTATCATTATGCACATCTAAATTACTGTTCACAAAGAGTGATTTCGAGCTAATCTGATTTTTGTGGCACAAAATCAAATTCTATGTTGCAGAAATTACCACCTCAGAAAAAATATGGCCGTTAAGGAAATCTGTCAGACTGAATGTGTGAAACATATCTGGAAAGGATATTTTTGGATCTAATAATATGGTACCTCCTTCTAGAAGTAATTTGCTATGCTTTTGCCTTTGGCAAAATCCCCATATTGAAACAGGGTCACAGGTGGATGCTTCTCAAAGGCTCTGAAGAACAGCGGCAGCAAAGGATTAAGAATATATTAACTAAATACAAAGCCGGGTTATTTGTCCCTTCAGGTGTGGAGGTAACGTAAAGGCAGCTGTGGAGGGTTAGCTGTTTGTCTTTTAACAGTGTCCAATCAAGAGCGTGGAGGGAAAGCAAGTGGTCTTACTGCCTTGGA